CAGATGGAGGTGACAGAGACACGGAGAAGACTCGGGGTGACGCGAGGACAGCAGCTGAGAGCGAGCGACTCTTTACAATCAGCGTCAGAGAGGAACAGACGGCCGGCACAGCGCACAAGTCACATCCATCCCCCTCCGAGCTGCGACACCGCCGAGTCACATGATCAAGATGACCTTCCCAGAAAATGGAACAAGAACTCCCAATATGCACACACTGAGATACTTCTGCTTGTGGAGAGCGACGCCACCCCTCCGGCCGGCATCCCGCCCAGCGCCTGGCAACCAGTGACGTCACGTCGGGGCGCCGGCCAGGGTCTCTGGGTTGCTATGAGCCGGGCGGGGAGTTGTGCGTGGCCCTTACACATCCCTCCATCCGTGAACCAATCAAAAAGCAAATGTGAATCAATGTATCACAAGTGATTATAACAAAAGTACATTCATATAAACAGCAATGATTGTAAAATCAAATAAAGATCAAATAAAAATATATATATTGGGTTTTGTTCTTTTTTCTTAAAAAAACACAGTTGCCCTGGACATATACTCCCACAGGGTCTCTGAAGTAGTTAATGTTGGTGAAAAACCACTGTGAATGATAATAAAGTGTTCCTTGTGAAATGGTATCAAAAAAGTTCCGTGAAATTTTGTTGGGGATATAGGCAAATGCCGTACGTATCCCCTCAGGGGGTGCACTCACTGTGATGTAGTGGCTGTGGTAAGCAGCCAGAAGCGCTTAAATGAAAGCTCTTAGAGCCGCAGCATCCTCCCCACGTCTCTCAAAGATATGTAGTCAGGGAGTGATGTGTCTCCACGGCCATAAAAAGAAAGAGCCTTTCATTGCATAGTAATTTCCAAAAAGGGGCTTTATTTAGAATCGAGTAAAGACAAGATAACGAACATCCAAATTGTTCGGCCGGTAAAAGCAAATCAAAAACGAAATCCTATGTTTGGTATGACGTATAGTCAGGCCCGCCCCTACGTGTTTCGTCGTCTTGACGTCCTCAGGGGGTTGTGCACCCCCTGAGGGGATACGTACGGCATTTGCCTATATCCCCAACAAAATTTCACGGAACTTTTTTGATACCATTTCACAAGGAACACTTTATTATCATTCACAGTGGTTTTTCACCAACATTAACTACTTCAGAGACCCTGTGGGAGTATATGTCCAGGGCAACTGTGTTTTTTAAGAAAAAAGAACAAAAACACAATATATATTTTTATTTGATCTTTATTTGATTTTACAATCATTGCTGTTTATATGAATGTACTTTTGTTATAATCACTTGTGATACATTGATTCACATTTGCTTTTTGATTGGTTCACGAATTGATCACAGTTCATTGTTTAATTGACACATTTATTGATGTTGGCGCTGCATAATTCGAAACCCATATGATTTGACCGTAGTGTCTTTTTTTGCTGCAGCCTTCAAATTATTCAATTTAGCACTTGTAATTTAGAACACTTTTGTTTCACATATCCAGCGTAGAATCATCAAACATTTACATCCCTCCATCCGCTTCTTACCAGCCTGGGGCACTCTGGACAGAAAGGGGGCGGCAGGCACAGCGCAAACACCGCGCGGCTGAGCAGCCATGCCACTCTGCCTGCCGCCCCCCCAATGTGACCAGCTGAGGCAACATGCTCAGGCTGTCTCATTATAGGGCCGGCCCTGGTAGCAGCAGATCGATATGAGCAGACATTGGATAGAACGGACGTTTTATAGGACAGGACTCATATCTGGCAGTACTCTGCAGTGACGGTGTCTGCACTGGGACTATTATATTAGAACAGGGATGGCCAAACTGCAGCCCTCCAGCTGGGGGGAAACAACAAATCCCATGATGCATCTCTTCAGGAGTCATGTCTGTGGCTGTGAGAATCTTGCAAAGCCACATGGGATTTGTAGTTCCACCACAGCTGGAGGGCCGCAGTTTGGCCATCCCTGTATGTGGGAATGAGCTGTGAGCGGAGGGTAACGGGTCTCTCGATGAGCGGAGGTCACTTCCTGGAGGTGTAGCCAAGAATTCGGCTAATTATACACAACACGCGTGACCTTCACAGAGATCTGGAGCCGAGCCCAGAGTACAGGGAGCTGCCGGAGCGTCAGTCCAGCTCATGGCTGAGAGAGAGAGAGTGGAAAAGCTGAACTGACCCCGAGAAACACAATGTGCAAAGTCTAGCTGATTGTTTCCTTTAGAAAGCAGCCACAGCCCGAGAAGAAAAGTCCGTCCCCTGCCAGCGTGCTGCACAGAGGGACCCTTGCTCTCTGTGTGGAAGCAGTGGTCTCTCTGCAAAGGTCTGATATGCTTCCTGCTAAGTCATACCTATAGCTCTGCAATACACCTAGCTGGTAAATCCCACCCCCTCTCCTGCACTGGACCCCCCTGTATTGGGCACATATACAACTTTTGGAAAATACGTTGTCACCAGTTGGGGCCTTTTCCTACAGACACATCACCATGTCCGGGAAGAACTTCCCCCGACCTTCATAATCCAACCCCGATGTGTCCCAAGAGGTGCAGGAAGTGTACCCACCAATGACAGCTGCCTATGGTCGGAGGACCGCCCCAACCCGAGGACACCGAGATACTCACGAGACGAATTCCGGAATATCCGACTGCTTCTTGAACCGTCCGGCCCACACCAAAATCTTCTTCTCAAAGTCGCTGGGCTTGTGCGGCGGAACCTTGAATGACGAATCTGGAGGAAGAGGAAGGGGGAGGGGTGACTGCCTGGTAGGGGAGGTCTAGGTCCCCCATACAAATATCATATATAACCGTTTATTAAACATTGTCTCCATTGTTGGTGAAGAGAAGCAATGATCCCGATAGCTCCGCCTACTACAGCAACTTATATTCCGGAGCTAGATTTGCTCAGGGGACACTGATCTGTACAATGGCAGATGAGTGACACAATGACCAGCTAATAGGGAGGGGAATGCTGGGATTACAGGTTACATTGTAGCAATGATCTGACGTAACACAGCGGCGCCACAATGTGTCGTCTGGAGATCTTCTTATCAAATGACGACTTCAATGAGATCCACCGACAAAAATACATCTTTATATACAAAGCAAGCACATCGAAATCATTACTGGGACCACCGCCTCTCTCTCCCCCCTCTCTCTCCTCCCTGCCCCCGCCGTCTCTCCTCCCTGCCCCCGCCCTCTCCCCTCCCTCCCCCAGTCCTTGTGTGGCCGATGCTGCAGACTGGGAGAGGTGCCCCGCCCCTTCCCGCCTGCGGCGTCTGACACATTCAGCCGCACGAGCACCGCTGGAGGGAGCTCAGTCCAGTGAGCCGATCGCGATCGACCTAATGGGCACCCCGGATGTAGCGCAAGCACAGGGATAGAAGGGGGCGGGGACACTGATCTGTAGACAGGCCGATGAGTGACACGATGACGAGCCAATAGGGAGTGATTACAGGTTACATTGTAGCAATATGAAGTAACAGAAATACAGGGACAGAAGTGGGCGGGGACTCTGATCTGTACACAGGTTGATGATTGACACATAGATCAGCCAATAGCGAGTTAGGAGGAAAAGAATGGCGGATGGTCAGGTGACACCCCCTCTGCCACTTTTAGAATCCTCCGCAGATGGTAAATAACTGAAATCACATTTATGACACAATATCGGCCGGCTCATATTCCACAGCCAGTCATCGGTTGCTTGGTGTGGAGCACGTGGTTACATTCTGGATACACCGCACCTCATTCACACAGACGGGACTCACCTCTATTCTCCGGTTTGCTGCACAGCCGCCTGGCGGCCATGACACCCCCGGCCTCTCCTCGCCCCATCGCCGCCCTCTCTGCAAAGAAACGAGGAGTGATTGAGAGCAGACACTGTCAGAACATTTAGAGCAATTATAATTTTGTTACCCTGAAGATACAAATGTCAACTTTCTTGCTGTTCCATATTCCCCACCAGGGCATGATCTGCCTGCATTGCATAGAGGAGCACAGAAACCCAGTGATGACATCACTGACTCTATAATAACATATGTAATGATAACATTAGCACGTTGATCAGAGGGGGGAGGGGAGGAACCAGAGATAGGAAAATATGTGGGTGTCACCAAGACAGGAAGTGGAAAATCTCCCCAATGGGGGTCACAGGACCTTGAAATAAAGAATGTGAATTCCCTTTTTTTAAATTAGAAAATGTGGAAAGTGCAGCAAAATAGCAAATGTGGTATAATTGGAGGACAGACCGCACACTGCATCCTAACAATCAACAGTGCAGAGGTGACCTCCATACTGGCGGTGTCCCCAGGTGACCCCCGTACAAGGCACTCATTATACACAGGTAGCGATGTGTCACAGCGCCCCCAGTGGTGACAGGTCGTCATTGCACCGTGTGGCCCTTTAGCTTGGCACGGCTCATCTGCTCACATAACCCCCTTACCAGCCAATAAGCGCAGGCCGCTCCTCCCCAGCGCCGCTCGCAGCATCTTCGCAGACTGTTAAAAGCTCAATGTCAGCCCGGAGCCTGAAGAGAGCTCACCGTTCCTCCAGTAGCCAATGAGGAATGCCCTCAGCGCTGGCCCCGCCTCGAAACGTCAGCCAATGAGCAGGAGAAGCCCCTTCCTCTGTCAACATGTAGAGCGGGAGCACGAGGTCTGACTCTACCAATCAGCGAACAGGCTGATTTAAAGGTCCCCCAATAAAAAAGCGGTTTTGGAACGGTTTGACCAATAGGAAGTCGCAGCTACCGGCGTGATAATTGTCTCCACTTACTCCTCCATGTTGTTGTAGATAGCTCTTACTACTCATAGAGGGAGGCTCCGAAAAAATGGCCGAATCCACTCACATTTTTGGGGACATTTAATGCTAAAAAATGAGATGGTTTTATAACGAATTTTAGGTAGTGACACCAGCTACGTATTATCTAAATTCCTGTGTCAGGATGTTATGATGTGAGGTGTAACGGCAGTGGAGCCCCCTGTGCCTGGCTATGCGGCGATAACCAGGATCAGGCATTACCGCGGATACCTCAGGTGGAGGTCAGAGGTCGGGGACGGCGAGGCCCCCTCCTGGCTTTTCCAATATGGCGGCGCCCAGTGAGGAGGTGAGCTGCGAGGATTTCGCGGAGTTCCAGGTGAGTTGGGGGGTGACGGTGGGTGTGTGGTGTTGGGGGAAGGTGGGAGGATGTGAGGGGACCTCCCATGTACACACTGGGCCTGGCTGATGTCTGAGCTCCTCCATGTTGTGACCTCCATCCTGCTGCCCTCTGCTCTGACCACCTTCATGGTCTGACATCAACAGCTGGGGGGCCCTTTGCTTTATACAGGGGCTACAAATGTCCTCATTCATGTGTACAGTGCAGGAGCCAGTCTGAGGTGTGGGCACTACAACTCCCAGCATGCCTTGCCTGACATTGTTGTATATTAAATTCCAGGGGGGCACCGGTGTCTATGGGGGTGATGTGACCCTATGGTGACCATACTGCTTGTGGGTGCCACATATGGATGACCCCATTGCACCATCCATACAAAGGTGACATATTGCATGTTAATGGCTCCTAATAATTATATTATCTCATAGAAAGCCAAATATCATTGAAGGGGACCTGTCACCGACCTAAACAACTGCATGAAAACTCAAGTCTATTGTTTGCTTGCTATGTTTTTACTTTAAATGATTTTATATTCACTTGCGATGTTCTTTCGAACTGGCTGGATAATTTGACTTCTTCAGGAAGAGTCAATTCCTTAGCCCCTCCCTCTCCTTGCATGTCATTGCCAAGCTCCTCTTCTTTTAGGGCTTTCTGTGCTGGCCCATAAACACTCAACACAGCTGTTGCGGAACTACAAGTCCCAGGAGACATTGCAAGACTCTGAAAGCCACAAGCATGGCTCCCAGGGGCAGAGGCATGATGGGGTTTGTTGTTTCACCACAGCCAGAGTGCCGAGGTTGCCTTCCCCTGCACTTGAGTGACAGGTTGGAATCTGCTGGGAAGGCTGACATCACATCCAAGATGGCGGCACCCATCTCTGGTCTTTTGGATGTCTACACAAGGGAGGCTTCTACAGGGAAGTCACATGCATACAATACCAGGGCTGCAACCAATTAATCGATCGATAATTGATGATGAGAATCGTTGTCAACTATTCTCATTATCGATTAGTTGGTTGAGGGGAGAGATATTTTTTGACATGACGTCACCGGATCGCCGACTGGACTCCCTGAAGAATTTTAATCAATCAAAATCGAGAAATTAATCGCTAATTTCCGCGGCCCTAATAATGAGGAAACATGGCTGTCCACATGTACATATATATATATATTTGGAAATATAAAGCGGGTTGCTGCTGTGT